GCAATTGATGGTCTGTTCAACAGTCTATCCCTGGCCTTGTTTTGGCTGATGATTAACACTATCTCTTTCCATAAATGTAGTCAATTTGATTTCTGTATATTCCATCTGGTGAAGTCCATGTGTATAGTCTTTGATATTGTTTAAAAAGGTTTTTGCAATGAAGTCACTTGTCTTGCAAAATTCTATCATGTGATCTCCAGCATTGTTTCTATCATATTTTCCATCACTGATCCCGCCTCTCTGTTTCCACCCTTTGCATTTCAGTCGGCAGTAATTGTCAATACACCTTGATTACATGTTTAATCAATTTCAGACTGAAAAAGTTGGTAGAATTTTTCAGTTCCATCATCACTGACTTTAGTGGTTGGTGTGTAGATTTGAATAGTAGTGGTATTAACTGATCTTTTGTATAGGAGTATGGATATTATCCTATCACAGGCAGGTTTGTATTTCAAATCAGATCTTAATATGTTCTTTTTGATAATAAATGCGATGCCATTCCTCTTTGTCAATCTTGCTGTAGTAAACCATGTGATTGTCAGATTCAAAATGTCCAATACCAGTCCATTTCAGCTCACTAATGCCTAAAATACTGATGTTTATGCGTTCCATTTCATTTTTGACTATTTGCGATTTTCCTAGATTCATATGTCATACATTCCATTTTCTGATTATTAATGGATTTTTACAGCTGTTTCTCTTCATTTTGAGTAGTGCTGCATCAGTGAATGAAGGTCCTGAAGGCTTTACTCCATTCGTATCAGGACGACCAGCTCTACTTTGAGGAGGCAGCTCTTCCCCAGTCGTATCTTGAGTGCCTTCCAACCTAAGGGGCTCATCTTCCGGCATTGTATCTGACAATATTCTGGTGCTTTTCATCATGTTTCAATATTCTGGTGCTGACTCTGTTCTATTGCTATTCATAAGATTTTCAGTGACTAAATATTTTGAAGTCCATCTCTCCTTCTGCCTAGTGTGTCTTCGTCTGGAAGCTCAGCTGAAAACTGTCCACCGTACGTGACCTTGCTGGTACTTAAAACACCCGTGGCCTAGCTTCCAGTATCACAGCAACACGCAAGCCCCCACAGTGTGACACTGACGGACGAGTGGTGGTTAATGTGTACTAGGCAGTAGCTTACCAAGAAGCTTCAATAAGTTTGTGGGAAAATCCAGTATCTTTCACTTCCGTTTTTCCGTGAGCTTTTTGAAGCCCTCTTGTATTGTCTGCTCCTGTCAAGCTGATTCTTAGCCATGTGACCCTGTGTACAGAGCAGAACTACTGCACAGGGTTCTGCTAGGCCTGATTTCTGAGGCACCTCTGGGTGACTGGAACCATCAGCTTGTAGCTGAGCACTGTTCACACCCCTTAAGGACTCCGGTGGTTAAGTGCCGTCGAGTCAGACCTGACTCATAGCGATGTTGTATAGGGCATCCGATGAGCAGCTGGTGAGTTTGAGTGGCTGACCTTGCTGTCCAAACTAATGTTGTGGTCCGTTACTTATCCTACAGCGCCATAGCAGGACTCTAAGGACTCCAGTAGGATAATAAGGGACCATCTAGGACAGAATAGAACTGCTTCACAGAGTTTCCAAGGGTGTCGTCTTTAAGGGAACAGACATGTCTTTCTCTCTCAGGGTGACTCGTGGGTTGGAACCTCTGTTTCTTTTGCAACCGAGCACTGTAACCAGTGTGTTACCAGGGTTCCATCGTCCTAGCCCCTTCAAAGAATGCCACCCTGGACGGGGGAAGCTGAGGCACAAAGCATGACTGGGCTGTTGTGAAACATCCACAGGACTCTGAGCTGTCGTCCCTGCCGCCCTCCCACCCCCATTTGTTCTGACTCACTGGACCTACCCACCCTGCCTCTGGGCACTGTCCTGGTCCAGAGAAAGCCCTGAAGGTGACTTGGCTACACTCCCTGGAGCCTGGGGAGAGGATCCCCACATGGTAGCTTGAGGGGTACACTGCCATGTCCAGCACATGACTGAGTCAACACCAAACTCTGAAAGTTCTGGGATGGGGTTGGTTTGTCCTCTACAGTAGACAGATGTGGAAAGTGGGCTTGGTTAGTTCCCCAAGAGCCGTGGCTCATGACTGGCAGGCCTGGGAGGCTGATTCAGGTGTGAACGTGTGTCCCCACTCTGTTCCCACACCCCCGGCCTCAGCAACTGCCTCCTAGTCCCTCCGCTGCAAGAGAGCGTTGTATGCCCTTGCACATCCAGTCCTGGGGTGGGGTGGGGACTGGGGTTACCACACTGAGCAAGAGGCCCTGTGGGGTCCAGGAAGCAGGCCAGGAGGCTGTCAGACAAATGACATCAGATTCACCCCTGCTGAAGCCTTGTGGCCCCAGGAGCCCCCACGTGGTACTGAGTCAGTCACATGGTTATCAGGGTGAGTATGGGGCCCTGGGTCAGTGCTGGCGGCAGGGAGCTCACGCAGAGGAGCCCTCCTTGGTCCCCAGTAGGCAGATACTCTGAAGGATCCCCAACCCACCACCTCCTCCCCAGGCACTGCCCTTTGCCCTTTGCCCCTGAACCTCCAGGACATGAGCAGGCAATTCAGAGTCAGCCCTAGGAGAGCAAGTTCCAGAGGGTGAAGACCCCAGGTGTGGACTGTCACCAAGTTCTCCAGCTCGTGTTCCACAGTGGGGATGGCCTCTAGGCCCCTCCTGGCACTGGATCCCTTCAGGGATCCACTCCATCCTCAGTCTTGCAGCAGGGGGTCGTGTGAGGGTCCCATTTGCAGTATCCAGCACCCACTCTCCCACAAGCGCAGGGCTGGAGCATGCTGGTCTGTAGACTCGCCGATTCTGGTAGGACTTCGGCCGGAGGCCTGGGGAGCTGACACAGCTGCCCTTGGGCCAGGCTCAGCCTGAACCCCGCCCCCTCCCCCCCCACACACACACAGGCCCTGTGGTTTTCTTCTGCTCCTTCTGCTTGAAGACCTTTCGAGAAGGCCTGTGAGCTCTTCAGGAGGAGGTGAGAGCCAGTTTAGACTCAGTTTTCTGTGGGACGACAAGTCTGTCTTTTGGGGAAAGGGCCTGGGCAGTGGTTCCAAGGTTGCAAACCTTTATGGAAGCAGACTGCCTTAACTTGCTCCCAAGTGACTGATGGGTTGGAACTGCAGAACTTTTAGTTAGCAGCCTAGGACTTTAACCCCTGTGCCACCAGGGCCTCTTAAATGTGTGACAACCACAAACCTCTATCTGCTCATGATTCTGCAGTTGAGGCAGGGATTGGTTGGGACCTATGACGGATTTCAATGTGGACATGGCCATGGCTGTGGTTGTGGCATGGCTTCCCCTGGCCAGGGTTGCTTTCCCACATTCTGGAGGTCCCTGGACAGTGTGACTCTATGTTACCACTGAATCCCCCAGGGCACATGTCAGAAGATTCCAATCCCAGTAAAAGTAAGACCCAGAGCCAGTCCCCCCATCAACCCAAATACAAGGATTCATGGCTCATCCTAGGCCATTGAAGTGACCACCAGCCACAGGCTGGGCACACCACTTATCTTGGCACCGTCTGTGGTCTCTAAGCCTCAGATCTTCATCCAAGAGGGAAGGTATTGGGTCCCCACATTCTCCAAGGATCATTCAGGTCACACCCACGTTGATGCCTTCTGTCTTGAGCCCATAAGCAGTGATCCTCACAGCCTCCCCCCAACTAGTCCTGTCCTCAGCTTGTCACTGAAGCAGTGACCCCTTTGTGTTCCTTGGGTACCTATCCATCATGTCTGTCTTGAATAGTGGCCCTACATGTGTGTCATGGGAGGAAAATAACCAGGCACACATTCCACATTCGCCTGCCCCAACCTGTCATTCTTGGAGGATTATGCAAACACCTCTGACTAGGCAGGGCCACACCCAAGGACTTTGGTCCTCAGGATTGGCCGTCCCACTGTGACATGTCCAAAGGTGAATCAGGGTGCAGAGGAATAGAGGGGACCGAGTCCTGGTGAGGTGCTCTGGGTTAATGTGCCAGACTGCAAAGCTGTATGAACTGCAAGGTCGGCGGTTCAAGCTCACCAGCTGCTCCTTGGAAACCCTATACAGGGTCGCTATGGGTCGGAATCCACTCCACGGCACTTAACAACAACAACAACAAGAGAGAGTCCCAGGTTGTTGAAACCTGACTGTACTTCATCCAGAGGGGTCCTGAACGTCATCATGTGCCTTCTCATCTGACCCAGGCTATGGGGGCAGAAGTTAGCCAGACAATCAGGGACCACTGCCAGCTGGGTCTCTTTCAGGCTGAAGCCCAGTGTAGATAGCATGAGTATTACTCAGGGCGAGAACAACTGTGCCAGTCCTGCCTGGGGACAGGAGAACATGGGTCCCTCCAGCCCACAGTTGGGGTCGTGTGGGACAAGGATAGATCATGTCATGTGTCCAGACTTGAAAATTTATTTTCTCCCCGTTTCCCCCTCCCCCCACTTCCCGCTTCCTTTGTCTTCAACCCCTCTGCCAGGACCACCTTGCCCTGCCCCATCTTTAGAGTCAAGCTCGGTAACACCTCCTTCGGGAAGTCTTCCCAGAGCCCCTCCTCCAATAGACCACCAACACAGCATGCTGGAGCCCATTTGCCCAGGGTCAAACTCCAGGCTTTGTCCCTGTGCCCACAGTTCTCAGGAAGCAGAGGTCAAGGGCTGTTATTTGTCTAGTGAGTTGACCTGATGACAGACAAAGGGACAAAGAGCCATAGGTCACGGCTTTTATTGACTTTAGACCTGTGGCTCCTCACCTCTAGGGAGGCCGATTATCCGTGTGGCCCAGCTTCCCAAGTATCCGTGACCTACGTGAGTTTGAGGTGGCTGCAAGGGCAGCCCCAGACTTCTGTTTCTCCTGTCCTGCCCGAGGAACCTCATCCTCCCTTCTCCCTCATTGGCCCCAGGCCGCCCAAGGGCGTCTGATAGGGGTGGGTCCGGTCCAGTCCTGCTGCTCGCCCTGTATCCCCCTCCTGTACCGGGAGCTGGGAGAGTCAGTCCTGCACTCGGATTCCCTACGGCCTCTCCAGGGCTCCAGAGCGGGTTCTCTTGCACAAGGGACGCATGGACTCCTCCAAGGTTCCCCAGGACCTCTTGGGCCTGAGCCCCAAGCCCTCAGGGGGACCAGACTGGGTGGGGACACCCTTGGCTGGGTCCATGCTGGAGCTGGAGGCTGAAGAAGAGAGTGTGAAGTCACTGGGAGGGATCCAGGACAGGCTGCCTGTCCTTACTGGGACACACCACATACACACACACACACACACAGGATCTCCCTAGGACTGGAAAGGAAGGGGGGTGGGACGGGGTTGGGTCTTCCTTCTTAAAGAGCATTAAGGAGATGGGACTAGGGGAGAGGAAAGAGAAGCAGATGATGGTGCAAGCTGGACCCGCTCTCCTCTAAACTGAGACCTAGCCAGATGGAGAGAGCTCATGGGTGCAGAGCCGGACTCTGACTCCACAGCGTCCCCTTTGCCCGGTCAAGTCAAATCGTAGTCAGCACTAGCCTTTTCCCGCAGGCACCCTAGGGACCTCAGATATCCAGATCTAGACTTGGGGCGAGGACCACAGGTTCGTCTCCAGCCCTCTGGAGCATGAGGTCACTGTGGGGTGTCCTTTTCTAGTCATCAGACACCCCAAACTCTTGAGCCAGCGCTCTAGCCCTCCTCATCCCAAATCTCCACCCAGTTCTATTTCCATAATCCTGTCTCCACTCCGCTCCAGCCCCTAATCCCGCCCCCCCACCACACCCTATCCCCACCCAGCTCCACTTTAGCACCATCCACACAGCTCCACCTCCTTAGTCCCGCCCCCACCCCACCCCACCCCTAGTTCGGCTCCTGCCAATTTACCTGTATTTCCCAGGCTATCCCTGGGCAGCCGGGCTTCCAGAAGGGCTTGGCGGTGGCTGTTACCTAGACTCAGAGCCCCCTGTGGCCAGTCTTGGGGCCAGGCCATGCCCTCGGGTCGTGAGAAGCAGCCCCCAGCCAGAAGCCGGCTCAGCCAGTGACTCTCACACTGGCCGGCGGGCTGCGTGTGGGCCGGCAGGTAGAGCGCCAGGTCCCGAAGGTGGCGCAACCGGAAGTTCTTGGGCTTGCTCCCCTGGGCACCGAGGCAGTGCTGCTGCTGGGCCCCCAGACCCCCCTCGTAGATGTTGGGGGTCGTATCGGGGTGGCTGGAGCGTCCTCGGGCCCAGCTCACTGCATCTGTGGAAGGGAGAGCCGGACTGTGGTGTCCACTGGCCCGCAGCAGCTGAGAGGAGGGACACTAACACAGGCGTCTAAGAACAGCCTTTGTTAGGAGCTCTGTTCAAAGCCTGCTGAGCCTCTGCTTACCTGTCTGTCAAATGGGCACAGTCTCTGGACACACACAAATACCCCTCTCACATCCTCAGAAATACCCTCACACACACACAACACCCTGTCTTTCACACACTCTTACTGCCACACGCTGTTTCTCACACACATCTTTAGAAATAACTTCCACCTATCTCTTCATACACACACCCTCTCTCACACACACACACCTCACACATACAAACCCTCTCCCACACACACACTGTCTCTCTCTCACACACACACACACCCTCTGGCTTCTCCTTTCCTCACTCTCACACACAAATTGGCTCACCCTCTCTCACATGTCACTCCTTTCCCCTCTCCCAGACGACAGCGAGACGGAAGGTCTAAGAAAGTGCAGACCCTGGTCCTTGCAGGACACCAAACCCTTTCTATCACGCCCTTTTGACCCCCATCCCACAGGGAGCATTCTGGTCTCGGGATAGAAACTGCAGTGGGTCCAGGAGGAGTGGTCATCCCAGGGCCATTTGGCTTTCCCAAGCATGCATGTCCCTGAGGCCACCCAGGTGGCTCTGGGCCTGCCTCTCCTCCCCGCAGCCCAGCACCTTTTATGCACAGTGCAGAGAAGGCGCAGACCAAGGCTTCCATGGAGGGCCAGCTGGTGGGGGAGGAGCTGCCACTCTCCTGTGCAGGGGGACCCTGCAAACCCTGACTAAGGGGCGGGTCTGCAGGTTCCCATGGCAACTACCCTTTATGACATCACAAGGAAGACTCTCAGTCTTCCCAGAGCCCCAATATGGAGGAGGATGTCCATGGCAGGCAGGTCAGGGTGGGAGGCAAGAGCAAGGGAATGAGCAGATCCCACTGAAAAGTCTCTGATTCCTCTGGCTTGGGATAGACCAAGCAGATTAAGCTCTGGTAGGCTGCAGAGTCCCTCCCAGGAGTGACCACTGGCACCTCAGTTTCCACATCTGTGTACAGAAAATAGCTTGTAGGGGAGTAGACTTAGTGGGGCCTGGGTCAATGCTTTAAGCATGCTCAGTGGCTATTCTGGGTGACTGGGCACCTCACTAAGTTTAAAACTGTGCACTGTCTCATGTCTTAGACCCTCAGGCTGCTATAAAAGAAATACCACTGAGGGTTTGTGTTATTGACTGCCGTCAAATTGGTTCTGACTTATAGCACCCCTGTACAGCACGGGTGGGGAACCTTTTTACTGCCAAGGGCCATTTGGATATTTATAACATCATTTGTGGGCCTCACAAAATTACCATTTAAAATTTTGCCTACTATATTTGGTCAAACATTTAATTAACTCACCCTTAACTGCAAGGTCGGCGGTTCAAGCTCACCAGCTGCTCCTAGGAAACCCTATACAGGGTTCCTATGGGTTGGAATCGACTCAACGGCACTTCACAACAAGAACAGTATGATGGCTCTCTATTTGTCAGAACTGACTCGATGACACTTAACAACAGTGTGATGGCCGGGACTCCTGGTGTGGTGCTGGATGGTGAACCACAAAGTCAGCATTTCAAACCTATCAACTGCTCCTCGGAAACCCTATACAGGGGTGCAATAAGTCAGAATCAATTCACTGGCACTTAACAACAACAACAACAAATGCGATGGCTGGACCAAATGATTTCACAGGGCTTTTATGGCCCACAGACTCCTGGTGTGATGCTGTAGGATCAGTACTGGACTGTAAACCACAAGGTCAGTAGTCCAAACCCACCAGCTGCTCCTCAGAAACCCTATACAGGGTCACTATGAGTTAGAATAGACTCTACAGCACTTAACAACAACAACATATGGCCCACAGGCTGGACGTTTCCCACCCCTGCTGTATAGGATTTCTAAGGCTTTAAATCTCCATGGGAGCAGAAAGTTTCATCTTTCGTCCGCAGAGTGACTGGCAGGCTTGAACCGCAGACCTTGTGGTTCACAATCCAGGGCTTTTCATGTTAAGCAACTCCCACCACTAGGGTGGGAGGAGGGGAAGGATCATAAAACAGAAATTTATTTTCTCACAGATTAGGAGGTTGGATCCAGGGCCAAATCCAGGGCCCCAGCTCTAGGGGAAGGCTTTTTCTGTTGCCTCAGGTAGAAGATCTGATTCCTTTCAGCGCCTGTGGGCCCAGCATTCCTTGGATAGCTCCTTGTGTCTTGGCATCAATCTTCCCCTGGGTCCAGGAGGTTCTCAGCACAGGGACCCTGGCCCAAATTCTTCTTTCTTGATAGTAGTGCCTTTCCTCTTTGCTGGCTTCTCTCTCCTTTTATCTCTTGTAGGAGGAATGGTGTGACTCAAGGGTGTGACATTAGTTAGGGTGTGACCTGACTCACACCCTCTTGCAAGGCTGTGAATCAAGATACATCCCACTTTAATCTGGCTTCATTAACATTAAGAGGTTCAGATTTACAACACAAAAATGGAGGGTAATTACATCAGATCACAAAATGGAGAACAACCACACAATTCACAGAATTAACTTAGCCTAGCTAAGTTAACACATATTATGAGGGGGAACAGTTGAATTCATGACACCCTGTAAGTAAAACTTAAGGAGTCCCTGGGTGGAACAAATGGTTAAGCACTTGAACATTAGTTGAAAGTTTAGTGATTCGAACTCACCACACTGGCCTAGTGATCTGATTGCCAAAGGTCACAGCCTTGAAAACTCTATGAATACTTGGTTGATAATTTTAAAGTTTGAGGATTGAGTCCCCTTAGAGGGGTCTTGGAAGAAAGGTCTGGCAATCTTCTGACAAATCAGCCATTGAAAACCGTATGAAGCACACATGGAGTCCCCATGAGTTGGAGTTCACTCAAAGGCCACTACTGTTGGAGCTGTCTCAAGCTCTTTCATTTGGAAATAGATTCTCTCCTCTTCATCTCTCCGCTTCTTGGAAGGGCAGCCACATACTGGCATGCCTTGACGGACTTGGCTCTCTCAAAGATGGAAAAACCCTTTTACTGAAAAGTTACTGTCTGGGAATTCTTCGATGTTTGGATGTCTGCCAAGCCACCTGTTCTCGTCAGTGACTTGCTCACATTAAGGAGAAAACAGGTGGCTTTGTTTCCCTTGAACAGCTTTGCACTCGAGAGAAAGCAGAGGATTTTTACCAACTTGGAGATTTTGACCAACTATTTACTCAGTGCCTGTCACTCAAATGCCAACACTGCTGAGTCAGAGAGCAGGGCCTGCTCAAAAGAAGACAGAAAACACTTGACTACAGCATACATGTGCGCCTTTAATTTCACAAGCGGACTCTACTCAACAGACTTATTCACTGTGCTGTTGGGGAAATGAAAATTGTCAAACTGAAGGGAATTTTTTTTTTCCCTATTGCTTTTGGAAGTTGGCAAGCATAGCTGCCTCACGACAAACATCAGTCTACTGCTGAAATTAGCAGGACCACTTTACAAGTTAAAACTTCCTCTGTGTTCCTTTTGAACTGACCCTTTAAGTATACTCCTAAACTTGTCTCTGGGAATGGCGTGCAGCCCAATGTATAACGTGCTGTACCCCCAGGGCTCCTTGGAGAGATAGGCTAACCCACCAACGACCACGGAGTCAATTCTGACTCATAGCAACCCTGTATAGGATTTCTGAGGCGGTAAATCTTTACAGGAGCAGAAAGCCTCATCTTTCTACTGTGGAATGGCTGATGGGTTTGAACTGCTGACTTTGTGGTTAGTAGTCCGGTGCTTATCCTGTAGTGCCAGCAGGGCTCCCTAGAAAGTCTGTGGCTGTGTGCTGTGGAGTCTGTTCCGAATCATAGCGACCCTGAATAGGGTTTTTGAGGCTGTAAATCTTTATGGGAGCATCTTTCTCCCACGGAACAGCTGGTAGTTTCGAACTGCTGACCTTGCGGTTCACAGCCCGATTTGTAACCACTATGCTACCAGAGCTCCTTAGAAAGGTTTGTTGTTGTTGTTAAGTGCCGTCGAGTCGGTTCCGACCCATAGCGACCCTGTACAGGGTTTCCGAGGGTGTAAATCTTTACGGGAGCAGAAAGCCTCATCTTTCTCCCGCGGAACAGCTGGTAGTTTCGAACCGCTGACATTAAGGTTCGCAGCCCGATTCGTAACCACTACGCTACCAGAGCTCCTTAGAAAGGTACCAGAGCTACCTTAGAAAGGTAGGCAGGGGCTAAATAATAAAACCTGGGGTGGTGCTGCGGGCTAATGTGCTGGACTGCAAAGTTGTGTGATTGCAAGGTTGGTGGTTCAAGCTCTGGTGTGATTGCAAGGTTGGTGGTTCAAGCTCACCAGCTGCTCCTTGGAAACCCTATACAGGGTCACTATGGGTCAGAACCGACTCCACAGCACCTAACAACAACAACAAACCATAATTACTGTTGTTGTAAGGTGCTGTAGAATTGGTTCCAACTCATAGTGAATCTATGTACAACAGAACAAAACAAACACAAAACACTGCTCAGTCCTGTGCAAGGAAGAAAAAAACAACAACACGCTAGGCAGTAGTTCTAGTGTGCACACATGGGACCACCATGAGTCAGAGTCAGTTTGATGGCAAGTAACAACAACAGAGCATGGGGTATTGTGTGGACTGGATGACACGGTGCCCAGGAATGAATTAGGCTTGAGCCTGGTACTTAGGGAACTCATCTGTGATGTTGAGGAGGGTGCTAACTCACCTAAGGAAATGTGGCAAATTAGAGGGTGTGGTGACTGGAGGTGGTTCCTCCAGCTGGGTGAAGAGAGCTCTGGCAGACGGTGGGTAAACTAGGGTCCTCAGATGTTCCCAGGACCTGGTCCAGGGGCTGCGTGCACCAGTAGAAGGCATGCCAGGGAAAAATACTCTAGGGCAGGAAGATGCTGAAGCTGGGTCTCTCTTACTGCTAAGCCCAAATGCCTTCAATTAGACTAAAAACTCCTGAAGGGGAAAACGCATACATTGGTCATGGGAATGGAAAATGTTGCAGCCAACTTGGAAAACAATGTAGCAGTTGTTCAAAAAGTGAAACAGAGTTACTACGGCCATAGCTCCCAGGTATCATGGGCTCAGTTCCATACCACCACTATAAAGCAAATACTGCAATAAAATGAGTCACATGAAAAAAATTTTTTGTTTCCCAGTGCATACAAAAGTTATGCCTACACTAGACTGTAGCTTATTAAGTATGCAACAGCAGTATGAAAAGTGTGCAATACTTGTACTGTGAGAATTAGCAGAATGGGACAGACACAGAGACATAAAGTGAGCACACGCAGTTGCTTGACGCTGGTTCACATTTAAAAACTCAGTATCTGAGAAGTACAAGAAAGAAAACACAATAAAATGAAGTATGCCTATATATGACCTAGCTATTATTGGAAGTATACCAAAGAGAAACAAAAGCCTCCATCTACACAAATCCTTGCTTTATTGTGTAAATCGTCAGGCTTATCTTTGTTAAGTGCCTTTGAGTCATATCCTGTATAGGGTTTCCGAGGAGCAGCTGGTGGGTTTGAAGGTTGATGGGTTTGAACTGCTGACCTTGTTAGCAGTCTGGTGCTTATCCTACAGTGGACTTATAGTTGTCGTTCTTGTTAAGTGCCATTGAGTCGGTTCCAGCTTACAGTTGTTATTAAGTGCTGTCTAGTCAGTTCCGACTCATAAGGAGACTGTATAGAGTTTCCAAGGAGTGGCTGGTGAGCTTGAATAACCAACCTTGTTGTTCAAACCGACCTTGCAGTCCATTGCATTAACCCACAGTGCCACACCAGGACTCCCAGGCTTATAGTTGTTAATTGCCATCACTATGGTTCTGACCCATAGCGACCCTGTATGAGATATCCGAGGAGCAGATGAGTTTGAAACGCCGACCTTGCGGTTCAAACCGACTTTGCAGTCCAGCTCATTGAT